CCTTGACACATCAGCCTCAAGACACAGAACTCTCTAAAGAAAATTTGCTTGTATCGGGTTAAGGAGAAGGATTTCAGGTTCCAATATTCAAAAATATGATAATTAAACTAGAATCGGAAGATATAGAATGGTCCTTTTTATTTGTCCCAGAAGCAAGAATAAACTTCCTGGGCTGAGACCTAATAATAAGATGTGACCTGGGACTAGAAATAGAGGAGGGACAAATAAAGGTGGTAATGGCTCTCCTAACGGAGGAGAAAAACAACAGAATCAATCCCCTTCTATGGGTCAAAGAAGGTAACAAAAGGGACTAAAAGTTACCCCATTAAAAATTAAATTGTGGTGCCTCAGCCTGTAATCCCGCGCCTTTGGGAGGCTGAGGTGAGTGGATTGCCTGAGCCTGCGGGTTCGAGACCCACCCAGGCAACTTGGCCAGACCTCATCTCTACAATAAATCAAAAAATTAGCCGGGCATGGTAGCGCGTGCCCGTTGTTCCAGCTACTTGGAAGGCTGAGGCGGAAGGATCCCTAGAGCCCAGCAGGTTGAGACTACGGTGGCCAGGAGCGGCCACTGTCTGGGCGACAGAGTGAGACTCCAACTCAAAAAAAGAAAATTAAATTGAAGCCAGGCTCGGTGGCTCAGCCTGTAATCCCACGCCTTGGGAGGCTGAGGTGAGTGGATTGCCTGAGCCTCCCGCCTGGGCAACTTGGTGAGACCTTATTTCTACAGTAAATCAAAAAAAAAAAATTAGCCAGATGTGGTAGCACACGTCTGTAGTTCCAGCTACTTGGAAGGCTGAGGCAGAAGGATCGCCGGAACCCAGCAGGTCAAGGCTGCGGTGGCTGGGAGCAACCACTGCACTCCAGTCTGGGCAACAGAGTGAGACTCCAACTCAAAAAATAATAATAATAATTAAATTGAAACAACCAGGGGAAATAATTTGTAGAAGGCAATATCCCATTCCCACTGAAGGCAGAAGGGGCCTGCAATCAGTGATTGAGGACCTCGTCAGGGATGGATTACTGGAGCCTTGTATGTCACCAAATAACATCCTGTGTTCTTCCAATTAGGAAGTCTGATGGGACCTACCGGTTAGTACAAGATCTAAGGGCTATTAATCAGATTGTTCAGGCCCAATATTCTGTGGTCCCTAACCCCTAAACTTTCCTCAGCAAAATTCCCTATGAACATACATGGTTCAATATGCATTTTGGGCATGCTCCCAGACCCCGAAAACAGAGACCTACCTCTTTGCTTTCGGATGGAAGAATCCTGTAACTGGAAGAAAACAGCAGTACTTCTGGACAGTACTACCACAGGGCTTCGTTGAAGCCCCAAATTTATTTGGTCAGATTTTAGAAACTCTTCTGGAGGAATTTCAACCTGTGGCAGGAACCCAACTGTTATAATATGTGGATGACATATTAGTAATGAAAGAAAAAGAAGGAAGTATCAGAGACTACTATTAGAGTGCTTAATGTTCTGGGACAAAAGGGGTTAGGAATTTGAAGGAATAAACTACAATTTGTAGAAAAAGAGGTTAAATATCTAGGGCATTTAATTAGTGAAAACTTTATGCCTTACAATGGTCTCCAGAAGAGCAAGCTCTAAAGGCATTAAAACGGACCCTCATTACACCTCCAGTCCTGGCTCTTCTGTCCCTACATAAGCCATTTCACTTGTTTATCTCAGTAGATCAAGGTGTGGCCCTAGGGATACTTTCCCAGACAAGTGAGAAAAAAGACAGCCTGCCACCTTTGTCGACCCTGTCTCTCAGGAATAGCCTGAATGTATCCAGTCAGTGGCAGCCTTGCCCTTTTGGTAGAGGAAAAGAGGAAACTAACCCATGGAGGAGCCCTAGTAGTACTCCCCAACAAGTCAGGACCATTCTTAATCACAAAGCAGGGAGATGGCTGACCGATTCCCGAATCCCAAAATATTAGGCTGTGCTGTTAGAAAAGAATGGTTTGGTCTTTTTTTTTTTTTTTTTTTGAGTTGGAGTCTCACTCTGTCGCCCAGACTGGAGTGCAGTGGCTGCTCCCAGCCACCGCAGCCTCGACCTGCTGGGCTCTGGCGATCCTTCCGCCTCAGCCTTCCAAGTAGCTGGAACTACAGGCGCACGCTACCACGCCCAGCTAATTTTTTTATTTTTATTGTAGAGATGAGTTCTCGCTGCCCAGGTGGGTCTTGAACCCGCGGGCTCAGGCAATCCACTCACCTTAGCCTCCCAAAGGCGCAGGATTGCAGGCTGAACCACCGAGTCCGGCTTGGTTTGGCCTTAACAACAGACACTTGCTTTAATCTATCTAGCTACATTTTTTTTTTTTTTTTTGAGTTAGAGTCTCATTCTGGCCCACGCTGGAGGAGTGCAGTGGCATGCTCGTGGCCACCCCAACGTTGACCTGCTGGGCTCAGGTGATCCTTCTGCCTCAGCCTTCCAAGTAGCCAGAACTACAGACGTGCGCTACCATGCTCGGCTAATTTTTTGATATATTGTAGAGTCGAGGTCTCACCAAGTTGCCCAGGCTGGTCTCAAACCCCTAAGGGAAAACAACTAATATGTGGGGGATTAATCAAAGAGGTCTTAAAAAGGCTCTTGCTCCCAACTGAGATAGCAGTGGTGCATGTAAACGGTCACTAAAAGGGAAACACCCTGGAGGCTATAGGAAATAGGCTTGCAGACAAAGGGTGCTCTAGAAGAAGAGGTCAGACTCTTTTTAGTCTAATTCCCCACATCCCTAAAGTGGTACTGAGACCCCAGTTCACTAGAGAAGAAGAGAAAGAAATAAGCTAGGAGCTATTCAGAATGAGTATGAATAATAGTTCCTCCCTGATGGAAGGAAGATCATTAGCAAACCCATAAATGAGGTAATTGATGACGTGCTACAGAAGAGGAGGCACTGGGGTCCCCAAGCCATGTGAGATATATTAAAAATCTATGGGCTGGGCGCGGTGGCTCATACCTATAATCCCAGCACTTTGGGGGGCCAAGGTGAGAGGATTGCCTGAACCCACGGGTTTGAGACCAGCCTGAGCAACATGGTGAGACCTCATCTCTACAATAAATAAAAAAATTAGCTGGGCGTGGTAGAATGCACCTGTACTTCCAGCTACTTGGAAGGTTGAGGCAGAAGGATCTCCTGAGCCCAGCAGGTTGACGCTGGGATGGCTGTGAGTATGCCACTGCACTCCAGCCTGGGGACAGAGTGAGATTCCAACTCAAAAAAATTTTTTTTTGTTTAAAGAATTAAACCTCAAATATTCCTGAGCCAACCTCAGGTCCCCAAGATCATAACAATCCTCCTAATGATCCCAAAAGAGTAACTATAATTGAAGTTAAGGATTTAAAGCAATCCCTTAAAATTGAGACAGGATATGGGATGTAAATGCCTGGGTTGAATGGATTAAATTTTTTGTGTATGTCGGTAACAAAAAAAATTGCTACACATGCAGGGCAGCCACAGGTGCAGGTGGTTCTATTTCCTCTTGAATGTGATACAGACCCTCCAGGGATAAGTTGCATGATGGCTCTATAACAAGACAAGGATGCATGGGGAAATGAAACCTGCAAGAACTTGTCATTGCTCTTTCTTGCATTACAGAGGTCAGATGGGAGGGCAATTCTTTCTCTGTAGGCACAATGAATTACTCCTCTTGCCTCTCAAGGCAGGGTGAAGAGTTTGATAAACCCGTAGGAGATCTGTACCCATATCTTTTTTTTTTTTGAGTTGGAGTCTCACTCTGTCGCCCAGACTGGAGTGCAGTGGCCGCGCCCGGCCACCACAGCCTCGACCTGCTGGGCTCCGACCTGCTGGGCTCCGGCGATCCTTCCACCTCAGCCTTCCAAGTAGCCGGAATTACAGGCATGCGCTACCACACCTGACTGATTTTTGATTTATTGTAGAGATGAGGTCTTCCTGCCCAGGCGGGTCTTGAACCCACGGGCTCAGGCAATCCACTCACCTCAGCCTCCCAAAGGCGCGGGATTACAGGCTGAGCCACCGAGCCCGGCTGTACCCAGAATTTATAACGGAAATTTTCCTAATTTTCTTCTTTTGGGGATTATTTCTTATGTTAGGTCTAGTACTTTGCCAATTTTCTTTCTACTTTTTCTTTAGTTAAAAGCATCAAGGGCTGGGCATGGTGGCTTACGCTTGTAATACCAGCACTTTGGGAGGCTGAGTTGAGAAGATTGTTTGAGTCCAGGGGTTTGAGACCAGCCTGGGCAACATAGGTAGACCTCGTCTCTACAAAAAAAAAATTAGCTGAGTGTGATGGCATGTATCTGTAGTTCTAGCTACTTGGGAAGCTGAGGTGGAAGGATTGCCTGAGCCCAGGAGGTCAAGGCTGAGGTGGCCATGATTGTGCCACTGCACTCCAGCCTGGGCAACAAAGTAAGACCTCAACTCAAAATTTAAAAAAAAAACAAAACCCATCAGGTACGATTGTGCCAGGTACACAGGTAGTCCATGGGCATCCTGGTTTTTACCGTCAGCACCAGAAGCCATTTCGGTATGAGCTTCAGGATCCATTTGTAGACAATCTTGTGTCTTTACGGGTAGGACAGATGGTGTGAGCAGGATCACCAGGGATTGCTGTCTTCAGTAGGCCTTTGTCACAGTTGGAGGTCAATGGTTCAGAACACCTGCTTCATGCTGGACATCCAGTGTGAGCAGCCAATAGAAAGACCAGTTGAAACAATTTGTAGTAAATGTGGCCATGCTTTATAACCAAGGCAGATAGGAGTGAAAAATTAAGAAAACACTTCTTTAACACTAACCCAGACTTTCTTTTGAATGGACTCAATTTGCGACTTATACTTACCATGGGTTTTAACTTTTTCACTAGCATTTAAGGAAATCAAAAATGCATTTGGTTTATTTAAATTAACTCCAGAAGAAAAAAATGATGTTCCTGAGAATACTCGAAAAAGAGAAGACACACCTCTGGATTGTAAAACCACAGAAGATCCCGCAGCTAAGGAAAACAAGCAGCCGCTCAAAGAGAGGAGAAGCACGAGGGACGAGACTGACACTTGGGCCTACATTGCCGCGGAAGGGGCACAGGAGGTGCTGGACGGTACGTGCCAGGCAGATGAGAACTGGGGTGAGTTGGAGTCGTCCTCTGGAGTTTCAGGGCAGTGTGCCACATCATTTCACGTGGTTCATCTCTGCCCCTGTAATTCTGATCTCAAGATTGGAAAACAGTGGCATAGAATATTTTATTTGGAGCTCCTGAATAAATAACACTTTATATCGAATTCCTGGGTCTGTGGCTTTTTCTTTTTTTTGAGTTGGAGTCTCCCTCTGTCGCCCAGGCCCACTTGAGACCAGCCCAAGTGATGACACTCACGGCTACCCCAGCGTCGACCTGCTGGGCTTTGGCGATCCTTCTGCCTCAGGCTTCCAAGTAGCCGAAACTACAGGTGTGTGCTACCATGCCCGACTCATTTTTTTTATTTATTGTAGAGATGAGGTCTCGCCAAGTTCCCGGGGCTGGTCTCAAACTTGTGGGCTCAGGCAGTCCACTCGCCACGGCCTCCCAAAGTGCTGGGATTATAGGCTGAGCCACCGATCCTGGCTGTCTGTGACTTCTAAATGGGTCAGACAGGTTTTGCTGAGTTCCTGTAATGTGCTCTCAGCCCCTGGAGACATAATAAAGATTTCTAATTTTCTGCCTTGCCTACTCGTCCCTGGCAGCCTCCTGTGTGTCTTCCTAGATTTCTTTCAGAGAATTTTCAAATGGAGTTGCCTGTATCCTGCCCTTTTAGGTTTGCAGCAAGTGACATTAGATGATGTTGTAAGTGCTATCCCCAGCACACACACTGGTTAAGAAGGGGAGGGCCTCACGTAGGAGCAAGCACAGCCGCTGTGGGAGGAGCAGGAGAAAGCGCATGAGTCGTGTGTACCGGACCAAGCGCATGAGTTGTGTGTATGTTTGTCTGTACTTGTGAATCTGAGTTAACGGGATGTGTGACAGCTAAGAGGGTCTGGGAGACCCTCTCTCTGCAGAGCAAACAGATTCTGATATTGCAGTACAGCGTTCTTAGGGTGTGTCCCTGAGTTTGTGCAAAAGAGGAGTGATTCTCAGGACCAGCAGGCAAGGAGGAGGACCGAGGCTGCCCCGAGAGCAGACGGCCAGACCGCAGCTAGCAGCAGGAAAGGCTGAGCAGTGGAGAGCAGATACCGTAGGGGTACCAGGAAAGCCAAGAGTGCGTTTGCTTGAAAAGATGGATATGACCGGGCTTGGTGGCTCAGCCTGTAATCCCAGCACTTGGGGAGACTGAGGCAAGTAAATTGCTTGAGTCTGCCTGTTTGAGACCAGCCCTGGCAACTTGGCGAGACCTCATCTCTATAATAAATAAAAAATTAGCCAGGCATGGTAGCACGCACCTCTAATTCTGGCTACTTGGAAGACTGAGGTGGAAGGATCACCAGAGCCTAGTGGGTTGACGCTGGGGTGGCCATGATGTGCCACTGCACTCCAGCCTAGGCAATGGAGTGAGACTCCAACTCAAAAAAAAAAGGACAGACAAAACAGACAAACCTCTGACACAGTTCATTGACGACAAAAGGGCGAAGTCTTCAAAGACATCTCAAAGTGGAAAAAGACATGATGGCAGACTGTACAGATTAAAAAGATAAACATTCTGTGAGCAGTTTCTCACCAATAGCTATGAAAAATGGTTAGGTGCAGAGGCACCTGGAGTTCAGGTACTCGGGAGGCTGAGGCAGGAGGATTGCCCAAGGGGTTTGAGGCTGCAGTGAGCTATGACCACATCACTGCATTACCTGGTCTAAAACAAATTTTTTATTTTTATTTTATTTTATTTTTTGAGTTGGAGTCTCACTCTGTTGCCCAGACTGGAATGCAGTGGCCGCTCCTGGCCACCGCAGCCTCAACCTGCTGGGCTCCGGCGATCCTTCCGCCTCAGCCTTCCGAGTAGCTGGAACTACAGGCGCGCGCTACCACGCCCGGCTCATTTTGATTTACTGTAGAGATGAAGTCTCGCCAAGTTGCCCAGGCGGGTCTCGATAAAACAAATTTTTTAAAAATTTTTTTGGAAACAGTGACATGGGAAAATTCCTGGAAAACTATAACTTAGCATTACTGACTCAAGAAAAATAGGAAGTCCGAATAGTCTTATAACTATTAACAGACATGACATATTCATTGAAATGGCTTTATAGATTTAACACCAAGCCCAGATGGTTTTCTCAAACCAAGGGCTACAAAACTTATAAAAATCTTCCTAAAAATAGACAAAGAGTGCTAAGTTATTCTGTGAGACCATTAGAACTTCATTACCAAAACCAGACAAAAGTCATATAAGAGAAAAATGAAAGGCTAAAGTTATAAATTTAGATGTACTCCGGGTGCAGTTCCTCACGCACTTTGGGAGACCAAGGTTAGAGGACTGCTTGAGCCCAGGAGTTTCAAGACCAGCCTGGGAAACACAGCAAGACCCCATCTCTTTTTTTTTTTTTTTTTTGAGTTGGAGTCTCACTCTGTCACCCAGGCTATAGTGCAGTCTCACTCTCGGCCATTCCAGCTTTGACCTGCTAGGCTCCAGCAATCCTTCCGCCTCAGCTTTCCAGGTAGCGGGAACTACAGGTGCACACTACCATGCCCGGCTAATTTTTTATTTATTGTAGAGACAGGGTCTTGCCAAGTTGCCCAGGCTGGTGTCAAACTCGCGGGGTCAGGCAATCCATTCGCCTTGGCCTCCCAAAGTGCTGGGTTTACAGGCTGAGCCACCAAGCCCGGCCAAAATCCCATCTCTTAAGAAAAAAAGAAAAATTCAGATGCAAAAATCCCAAACAAAATATTAGCAAATTTAACCTAGCTTGTTTAAAAAAAAAAAATTCCTCTTGAAGTTGGGGTTTTCCTTAGAACTGGAAAGGGAAAATTTGGTTTAATAGCATTCTTGATTTTTAAAAAACTGGCAGGATATGGTGGCTCACACCTGTGATTCTGCACTTTGGGAGGCCAACGCGAGAGGATTGTCTGAGGCCAGGAATTTGAGACCAGCCTCAACAACAGAGTCAACTCCATTGGTACAAAAAATTTAAAGATTAGTTGGGCATGGTGGCATGTGCCTATAGTCCCAGCTTCTCAGGAGGCTGAGGCAGGAGGATCTTCAGAGCCCAGGAGTTCAAGGCTGCTGTGCGCCGTGATCCTTTTCCAGCCTGGGTGACAGAGCAAGACCCTGTCTAAAACTAAAAACTAAAAACTAGCAAATAGTGAATGAAGGGAGCTTTCTGAACTGATGAAGAGTATCAGATCTTTGGCAACATAGGCTATAATGGTGAAACCAGAAACATTTGTTTTACATCAATACAAGGATGCTTTCTGCCACTACTTGCATTTAACCTTATACTAAGGTCTACCCGGTACACTAAGACAAAGAAAAACAAAAGGTGTAAGCATTTGAAAGGAGAAAAAAACCTGTCGTCATCAGATGGTATGATCTATGTAAAAAACCCAAATCTACAAATAAATTATTAGAAATATTGAAATCTTAGTAAGGTGACTGGATATGTTTCCTATGTACAAAAATCAAGTGTATTTTCCATGTACAGTATTCATGTCTGTATACATTTCTGCATAAATGATGTACTTTAAAAAGATACAATTTTCAGTAGCTACACATTTAAAAGATTGGTAAGAGTATTTTTCTTAAAAGAAAATACAAGGCCTGTATGGAGAAAATTTAAAACATTTCTTGAGAGTTTAACTAGAGTTTTATGTATATGCCATTTTTATTCCAACATAGTTTCAGAAATTTGACATTCTCTTTAAACTGGTACTTCTAATGAAAAATCCCAACATCGGCCAGACATGGTGGCTCACACTTGTCATCCTAGTACTTTGGAAGACTGAGGCAAGAGATTTGTTGAACTCAGGAGTTCAAAACCAGCCCTGGCAACACAGTAAGACCTCGTCTCTACAATACATTTAATGTAAGAAGAAAAATTAAAAATTCCAGCATGGTTTCTCATGGAATTTGCAAATACTGATTCTAAAATTTCTGTGGAACACTCAAGAAAAGCCAATGCCAATTATCCCAGTAGCAATCAGAACCTACTATATTAAACTGTAGTGATCAATACCATGTTTACTTGGCACAGAGAGGTAGATTAATTAGCACAGCAGAATAGAGACATGTAAGGAGGTGAGCTCAGCTCTACCTCACTGGTGACAGGACTGTCAGTTATTCATGGAAAAAGCCTGAACATGACAGTCAGATTCTGGTGGGGTGAGGCATTACCTGTAAAGAGGATATCTAGAGTCCAGGTATTCAGAGATTGAGGACATCTTTCTGACCTGGGAAAAAGTTTCTTTTTTTTTTGAGTTGGAGTCTCACTCTTTCGCCCAGACTGAAGTGCAGTGGCCGCTCCCGGCCACCGCAGCCTCGAACTGCTGGGGCTCCAGCGATCCTTCCGCCTCAGCCTTTCGAGTAGCCAAAATTACAGGCACGTGCTACCATGCCCGGCTGATTTTTTTTTTTTTTTAAATTTACTGTAGAGATGTGGTCTCGCTGCCCAGGCGGGTCTCGAACCCGCGGGCTCAGGCAATCCACTCACCTCAGCCTCCCAAAGGCGCCGGATTACAGGCTGAGCCACCGAGCCCGGCTTGGAAAAAGTTTCTTAAACGACACAAAATATGAAGGAAAAGAGCAGTGAAGTGGATGGTAGAGTTCCATTCATCAAAGCCACCAATAAAAAAGGAGAAAAGTTAGTATCCAAAAGATAGAACTCGTGCAGTTTGAATAAAACTCATCAACTATTAGAACAAACTGTATATTTGTTAGGGGTGTATTGTGTTTATGGCAAAGCTACTTTGAAAAAGAAGGTGCTCGAGAGGTGTAGACAGTGGCACACAGTGGCCTCCTTGCGTGTACAGGCACTGAGTGCCCCCAGTGGTTTCTCTCTCTCTCTCACTAGCTCTTGTCTCTTATTAAAAATTAAGAGAAGCCGGGCTCGGTGGCTCAGCCTGTAATCCTGCGCCTTTGGGAGGCTGAGGTGAGTGGATTGCCTGAGCCCGCAGGTTCG